TTCAAATGTTATAAAGATAAGTGAATTACTGTTGACGAATAAGTGTTTATTAATGCAATCATTCGCACCCGAATGACTATGCCTAATACTTGATAATAATATAAACCAAGTCATGAAGGCAACAGATTCTTATCAATTGATAATTGTTAATACAAAGATCAAAATCTTTGCTTTCAATGCCACATATTGATGTAAACATTCTATGCTATTATTGAACAATTTTCTTTTTCATATTTGATTATTTTCTATATATATTGAGAAATGTCTTCGGTGTAAATCTGTTAATCATTAATAACGTAGGTAAAAGACAGTGCTACAAAAATTTATCAATTCACAAAATAATAAATTCAATATGAATATAATCGATAGTGTCAATAATTAATTCGAATAAGACAAGTAGAAACTATCTCATCACGACAGATAATTTGAACTTTAATCAAAACAAAAAAGAAGAAAATACTGAGAATTATTGTATTTCAATTACAGATGAATGCATTGTTATAGTTAATGTGAAATAAGATTATAAAATAATTTTCTCTGTTTTCGGTGAAAAGAATAATCAAGGAATTTTTATTTCATTCTATTTCATAATCCATTGGTAATTTATTTTTTCATCATTTTTTTTTGTAGAGAGTAACAAACATAATTTTCTTTTAAAGCTGAATAAAAAAAAATTGAATAGAACTTCACCTCGAAATTATAGACAGATTAATATAAATGGAAAAAACATATCAGTATTGATATAAGGATTGGTTCAAAAGTTTCTAGACAAAATATTTGACTATGTTCCGTATATTTAAATGCATTATTTTCAGAATATATTCTTAGAATTTTTCTGTGACTATTGACCTATAAGTGAATCTTGAAAGCATCTAAAATATCTTTTTGAAGAAAAAAATTTGAAATGGATCTTGTTCGAAACATGACATAAAATTTTATCAAATATATTGGCAGATAAAGAAAATAATTTTCTACACAGTGGTAAATTTTTTTGAAAACTCTGAAAGTGCAATAATGACTTTTATAAAATTTATTGCATGAAAAATGGCTATTTTTACAAATTTCCCTTTCTAAGTGTAAAATAATCTGCCGTCATAACTTTACCATATTTTAATGGATTAACCAAAACTCTCCATTCCTGCGTCATTTTCTATAGTAGACAGCATCCTCAAGTATTATATATTTACAGAACTTATTTGATGTAGATTAGTTTTCAGAAAAATAAGATTTTTTGTGTTTCTAGAAAATGTTTTTGAGTTCTGTCAACATTTACTTACAAATCAATAGTCAAAAGTCATAGAAAACTTCTAGGACGGACATATATTCTGAAAGAGCACAAAATTCGCTTTTTTAATACATTTAATATGTGAAAAATAGTCTGATATTTTATTTAAAAACTTTTAATCCGCTCTTTACATATATCTATATATGGGGTTAAGCAAACTTTTGGGACATCCTACGAACTTAACGGAATGTTTATGACTTTATTTTTCTAAGAACTAAAAACATCAGCATCATATTACTATGTATATAAATACAACTACTGATGCATTCGTTAAATTATGTCTCTATCTCACTCGTTCATATCCGTTTTTTTGAGAAAAACCCTCGAGAAAAATGCAAAAAATACTTGTTGCATAATTGTAGAAGACTCTTCCTAAACGGATATTTTTCATGAGTGTGAATTATATTCAATCTTTAATTGTTATACTGTATGACAATTTAGATTAAAAATTGACTTGGTTTTTCATTAAAATTCGTTCATTTTAACATCTGAGGATATAAGAATTCTAATCCTAACAAGGTCTCTCAGATAGTAAGTCTGGTAGGATTTTGAACCACCAATTCTATTCTAAAAAGAAAAAGAGTGAATAATGCCCTTTGCAATCATCAAAATATTGCGGTTATCCATGTTGGAATCAAGTTAGAAGTGGCGCCTAGTGTTATTCTAAAGGTTGATTTTGTGACAGTTCTCAATCGATTTTCGACCCACACCCGTACTCCTCTCTTCATGGAGATGTTCAAAATACTTCTTCACCATCCCCGTAGAGGAATACGGGCTTGAGTCGAAAAATGACTTCGAAGATTTTTATAAAGTTTTGATGAAAATATGCAAAACACACGGTGTCCATGTTAGGTATAAAATCTTAAAGAAATTGCATACATCGCCTGAGCTATGAGCCTGACAGGGTTAAAATACATATTCATTTCAGAAAATGGATATAAAGTTTTCAAAATAATTACGTTCAAACGAGAATTGAAAAGAAATTGATAGTAAACTTGTCATAACTCGATGCAAATGGTCTATGCAGACAAACTCTTTTAACCATTTTCTAGTTTCATCGAGAACTATTCAGTAGTACAATATGAGTTCAAACGACTGGCGCCAGTTGAAATATTTTCTTGGTAAGATTAACTGTGGTTTTCCGAGACATTCAATAATATACCATTCAATCCATAGATCACAATAATAATAATAAGATGAAAATATCTTAACATGAAGAATGTTACTTAGATGATGCAGAAAGAAATAATGTTGAAGCGATGCATGTCGAAGATATTTATAAATGTAAATGTAATTCAGCAGATAATGGTTGGACACGTGTTCTTATAAAAGATTTCCTGCTGAAAAAGTGCAAGTTTTTCTTTAAGCATGATTTTCATATCGTGGCAGGAGTCCATGAATTTAATGATATATTATTGAATGTGTCTAAAAACTACAGTTTATATAAGTTTTTGTAGTTATTAAATACTATTTAATCTGTTTTTTTGTAATAGTGTAATGCCTAGGATACCTTAGGCCAGGATTCGAAAATTTCCTGAATGGATTCGCGACAACGTGCTCTCCAGATTTGGCACCCACCTTCTCAAGTAGAACTCAATGAGCTTTATCAGATGCACATCTCATCATTCCGAAAAACTTACCCCGTTCCCAAAAAAAAACCCTATAAACCTCCAAAAAAATCCTCATAAAAAACAATACGAATCTGAAAACACCGTCGCGATTCGTCCAGACGTGCTCTCCAACAAGTAGACATAGCTCTTCAGATAGATCTCGACGAACTTTATCCAATGGACACATGATTCACTCGATTTGAGGACTCAGTCGAGAAAAAAATCGCTATTAGTGCTTAATTAATTAATTTTTTTAATTAAACACCTCGCGATTTGTTTAGAAGTGATATACAATAGAGAAACACACCTCTCCAGATAGGTCTCAATGAGGTCTATTCGACATATATCATATTTGCCAACTTTGACATTATGATCGTAAAAAATTCTCACACAACACATTTTTTTGAGTTCGTTCCTTTGAAATCGTGTCTATTTTACTCCAAATACTTTTCAACAATATTTTTACGATTCGAAATCGAAGTGATGCACGAATGAAACTCACACAATGAATTAGATACGTTGATGTCAATTAGTAATGAGACAATTATTAATTTTTTGCTCGATACTAGTTCGCTTTAAACATATTTATTACACTGATTGGTATAATTTACACATATACACAGCACTGTGTGAGGGTGAAGGTGCTGTAATTAATATGCTTAAAGTGAAATAGTACCCCATATTATTGTCATTAGAATCTAAAATAATTGATTTAAATAATGTTGTATTGTTAGCTTTTTCAGTTTGTTCAATAATACTTTCATCGGCAGTTATAATCATTATGCGACGTTTTCTTGAACTCCATGGTGACGATACTTCAGAAGCGATAGTAGACAGAAAAAGAATTTTTTCTAAAATAAAATACCAAAAAACAAAGATTTCAAGAAATACAATCTTTTTCGTGGTTATTCAAATATGGGTGTAGAGGGAGCCGAAACCCACACCCCCGAAAGCGAACATGATTCCTGTTAATTAATTATATTGAAAATCTCTCTTCGACAAATATCGAGTTACAGAACATAGGAAATTTGAAAAAGTTGAACTCCAGTTTATATTTTCAAATTTCCCATGACTACTTACTTCTCAAAAGAGTTTCGTCGAGAAATTTCGTTCTACATAAAAATTCTTAACTATGCTACTGACTTTTCTTTTTATTCTCGGTTTTCATCCAATCAATATGATTTGTTTTTTAGTAAAACACGACCTAAAAGGGGTGTTCAAAGTATATAAGGTAGAAATTTGCACCACTTCCCCTCTACAGACAATGATAGACAGTCGTCGGAGACCATCACAGACCGTATATCAATAACAGCTCATTACAATTTATTGACTACTTTTTATTGTATTTCGAAAGGATTACGTAAAAGAAGGGTGAGGAAATATGTTCCAAAACACATGGAATAAAACAATTATCCTATAATTAGTAACAGTAGCTATGTGGTGTTTCACATTTTGATCCAGCATGAATTCCCCTATTTTTTTTTGATCTTATGTAAATATCTTTCAATGATGATATTCAATAATATTTGACTTTTGTTTCGATATTTACTGTTTCATTTTAATTATATTTTCATTTTATTTTATTTTTCTCAATTATAAACAAAAATAGACAAGAACATTTTCATTTGTAACAATCTAAGTCCTTTGATATCTATTTTGAACTATTGTTCTCCATAATGTTCAATTTTTCCATTCTAATCTTGTAATTCTATGTAAATTAATCTAGTTTAAATCGATATTTATTTAAAAATAATGAATTAATAATAATCATAATATTTTTGTCCAAGGAAAATATTCTTTTAAATGTTCATAAGATATTAATTTTCTAGAAAAAAGTATGTAACTGAATTTTGCACAATTGCTTCGTGCTGTATTTCTTGTAAAATTACGTGTCACTTTTTTCATTAGTCGATAATCAATATGAAGATAAGCATTATTAGGTAAATGTGTTTTCGTATCTAATAAGAATTGTCTAATATAATGTATATGAACTTGAGAAAGATCAAGTGTAGTAAGATGAGAATATTTAATGATTGATAAATTTTGTTTGCCATTTTTTGATATTCTAAAACGTTTATTATTTTGTTTTTTATAATTAATCACAGTTAAATTGGTTCAAGATTAAGCCATTTGATTTTATGATGAATTTTAGGTAAGATAAATAAACAAAATCGATCAAGTATTTCATCTGGTAATGGGGCAATATAATCATTTGTTCCCGATCTGTACAAAGCCAAAGTATGTGTAAAACTAATATCATGTACAATTTTATTAAATCGTTTATTAACATGTGTTAAGGAATAAAGTACTACCACAATAGTCAATTTTTTAAAAATAATCATAAGAATTTCATCGGGTAGATCATTCAATTGAAAAAATGAATTTTCCATGTTTATTTTCATATATTTATTCATTTAACTTAAAAATTTCGATATTTATATAGATAAACTCATGTATTGTATTCGACCGATATCCTCAATGAAAACAATGATGTATTTTTCTATGATATGAATTGTTGACGACGAATAAAAATATAGGTGATAGAATGATATTTTCTCTCTCTCTCTCTCTTTGTTCAACATATGGTTCAATACGCGCATAAATATTTCGAAAAATTTCTTTATTTTTTACATTATAATAAGCAAGATTACGTAACAATGATTTTATTTTTTCTTTTCTCAATATTAAAAATCATTTTTTTTCAAATTTTAGCTGAATATTTTTGAACAGAGAAAATTTAATATTTTTGTTTATATCAACTTTAGAGTTCTTATTCGATTGAAATAGTTTTGTAAGTATTAGAAATAAAAATCAAATGAATAATTTCGTTTGAAAGTGAAAATGATGATCCGTTCTCATGGTCACGTTCTCGTTTCTTTGATAGAATTATGTCAAAATAGAATTTTGAATGATTAATATGCTGATGACTAATAATAGACACTAAATTATTTTAAATAATAACAGAATAAATATATAGAGAAACAGTGTTAATCTTCAAGTTCAATCAATATATAAAACTCACACTAATGTCCGACGTAAGTCAAATTTTTATAACTCAACTTGATCCTATCTGAGTCATCCATTTCTTTTGGTTCGACTCGATAGGATCCGCACATAATGGGATTTGACCTGAGGTCAATTATTTTTTCGTGACTTGAGTCGGACTATGACATCGAGAACGTTTCTCTTTCACTTGAGAAAATCAATTTGTCACTCCTTTTTTCTTCCTTGCCTTTCGTAGTTGAAAACAAAAGATATGTTTTTGGCCTCTTTTCGAGCTTGATATTTCGACGATATTCCGCAAGGGAAACAACATGGTTATGTGATAGAATCATTTCTTGTTTGTTTTTCTTCTCTTATGTGTACAAGCTACTCACCATCCAAGCAGTCATGCGACGGGTATTTCGAGGTGTTCATCTGAACCATTAGATAGGTTGATGAAATTAAGAATTGTTCACTCATCGCCGTCCTCTCGACCTATCGGAAAATGGCACTCCGACGTGCCGAGTTAGTACTTCGATGCTCGTCGATGAAACTTTTTCGATGGGCCGAATTCGCAGGGATCGCGAGGGGTCCATATTCCGAGCAGTCGAACTTTTTTCTGAAATTTTGCTCTCTGCATCTGATATTTTTTCCACCATTCGTCGTACCCATCGTTGGCTTTATGGATGCTGCATTAGCATTGCATTAATTTTCCTCCTAACATCAATCTTTTTTGTTACGATCCTAAAACAAAAGTATAGCACTTTGTATTGATTAGTCTGCCGTTAAAGCGAAGCAGTATCCCTGCCTAGTTTCCAAACTTTTTTGTTACATTTGGAATACAAAAACATTGCCGCTACTATCCAACTAATACCATAATTGAATTAACTAAATGGTAGCTATGATGCTTTTGTATTCCAACTATAACAAAAAACCTCAGAAACTAGTAAGGGATGCTGCTTCACTTTAACATTGCATTAATCAATACAAAGTGCAATACTTTTGTCTTCGGATCGTAACAAAAAAGATTGGTGTTAGCATGAAAATTAATGTAATGCTAATGCTACTACAGCACTCCTAGTTGGTTTTTTAGGGTCTGCTTGAGAAATGTCTGCATTAAGGTACTTGTGATATTACTTTTAATTCGCGTCGTCACTGTTCGACATATCGTTTAACGAAATGTTTTAATAGTGGAATGCGTCGTGAACGGTTTTTAATAGTATTGAAAGAAAATCAAACGAAAATTTATTTATTGGTTAAATTTTGTATCTGTTAGGCAGAACAAAAAGCAGAAATACGTCGTCATAGACTAGAACATCAAAGTTTAAATACAAATGAACAAGAATTTCAACTATCCCTAACTTTACCATTCAATGATGTATAATCAATTTTTCTTTTAACAATATTATTCATTATAATTTATGCATTGTTTTTTATAGTTATATTTAATATTAGATCAAGAACTTTCACTTTTTTCTCAATGTTTACAAGAACATGCTGTACAATCTAAAAAAGCGTTACTGAGTCCAAAAGATTTACAACGTGTAGAATCAATACAATTTTTCTATCAAAAACGTATTGAACTTGGTAAGAAAAATTTGTTCTATTGATTTTATTTCCATAGCTCGTGATAGTCTTCCATCGAATCCATCATCCATGTGTACAACAACATTTCTATGACAACTTAATAGTCATTCAGTTCCACTTAAAAGACTTTTAACATTTTTTAAACAAATATCAGAATTGAATGAATTAAATGTTGATGATAGAGTTACATTAATTAAATTTAATCTTCTTCCACTTTTATGTATTAATTGTACACTTTCATATAAACCTGAAACAAATCAAATAATTGAAATTGATTCCGATGTACCATGGGATTCATCTGTAATTCAAATAGTTTATGATATGGATGGTTACAAAGAAATAAAAAAAATTTTTGATTATTTTTTATGTATTGCAAAATATGATCAAAACATAATTCAATTAGCACTTATTACTTTTATGCTTACAAAAGGTTTTTCAGTAGCTGCAATCAATGAACCAATATTAAATGATTCTATATCTGTATATTGTGCACAAAATTATTTTATAGAACTTTTATGGAAACATAAGGAAACAGTTCATGGATCCGAAATAACTATTCAAATATTTAGTAAACTTATAGCACATTTTATGACATGGCAAGTATTACAAATTAAAATTCGACGTATTATTGAACAAAATTTATTGTCAATAAATATTAATGAAATATGACCATTTATGAAAGCAATATTACATATTTCATAAAATGTTACAATTTACATATGAATAAAAATTGGTTTTAGATTTCTAAAATTCATATGCATAGAAACGATTGTTCATTTGTTATTCTTTAGAGAATAAATCAATTTTTTGTATTTATCAGTAAAACTACTCCTATTAGTACTATTTTATTGTAAAAATTTGATCAAATAATTCACGCAATAATTACTATGAATGGTAATTAGGTTAAGCATGCATCGAATCCCAGCATTTGAGTTCATTGCATGTCTATGTTAATTTTTTAGCTACTGTGTAGTATTCAGTAGACGAAGAAAGACGACGGTCATCTTTGAAAATGTATCATCTCACTTTCTGTAATATTCTCAGTTGTCAAAGTCATTGTATATGATTAGAAGAGGAAAGTAGAGTAATTTCCACATTAGTTATTCTATGTATGCTTATGGAAGATTTTCATTTTAACCTCAAGATAGTTCTTATTTAGTTCTTTCTTTAAGTATTCCTTTCATCATTTGGACATCGACTTTGAGACAATACTATGTTTTTCAAAGATAAAAGAGTCTAGGTATTGCAAAAATTTCGTTCTTATCATTGTGATATGATCTCTAGTCTTTAATAAAATCTACACTTTTTTCTTAGTCGTTATTTCTAGTCAAAAAATTTTGGGTACCAATATCTTCATTTTTTCTTTCTGAGCAGCATGTATTTGATTGTCATTAAAAACAGTAAATTTTATCTAAGTAAATATTGTAAGTTTTACTAATAAAATCGATCATTTTATCCCACTAATTATATTTTTTGAATATTTACAATAAAATCTAAAACTAATTTTCCATATTCTACAGGATGTAAAAGAAAATAATTGACATGTCCCGAATCAACAAATCGATGAGATTCAAGATTCACGCCATGTTCAACTTGAATAGCGATAAATTGTTCTATAAAAGTATTAAAAACAAAAATAGTCAATTCTTAATGATCAAAAGAATAAGTTATCGATAATCTCGTATTTTATCTGTTGTCAATGATGTATTTGATGAAAAATAACGTTGATAAAAAAATTGTATAAATAAATAATAACTCATTAATGGTGTCCAAAATAAATGAAAATATCGTGCTTGATTAAATATAATACTAACATATGATCGAATTGTACCAATCGCTGATACAATAATCCAAGGATGTGAATTATTTAGATGCAAAAACGGTGCTGAATCTAGCATAATACCTTTTATATTAGATAATAATTGATTGAAATGTTCATTTGTTTTCATTATATTAAGCATATATGACCAGACCAGTGCATCATGATTTGAATGAAGATGAATAATAATAGTTTTATTCGATGTACGATTTTCATTAAGAAGAAAATCCAGTACACGTTCAATTTGTTTAATATCAACATCAACACCAATTGAATAATTAAACATTGGATTAATTCATGATACTGTTGGAATATGATGTGATGAATAAAAATCGAGTAAACACCGTAATTGTTGACGTTTACATCCTTCCCAACCGAGACACAAACTAACGCAGGAGCAAAGGATGATCCAGTTTTACATACAGGAGTATGATCAATTGAATTAAAACCCAAACATCGACGAGAATAATGATCTCCTATTTTATATAATATAAATAAAAAAAAAACCTATTCTAAGAGTAATAAATAATTGAACTAACATTTTCTTTTTATCTAAAAATAAACATTTATTTTTTTCATTCTTAGCAACTGATTTTACTGTAAAAAGTTTCTCTTTTCTTCTTCTTTTTGCATGAAGTAAACAATCATAGATTTTTTACTCGTTCTGTATATACTATATGTGCTTATGTTGTGCACCTTACTGTCGCACCACCTTTCATAAACGCACAAACTTCGAAGTTTTTCTTCTTATTGGTAAAAAAAAAGTAAATTAGGTGACGAATACAAAAAGAAAACTGTAAGTTGCTGATCACAAGATATCTTTAGTGATAACTAATGGATGAGATTTTTTCTGAGCCCGTAAGTAACCTACAAAAGAACCCATCGCATTCGATTTGAGCCCAGTGAAAAATGTTCGGATCCAAAAAGAAATGTTTTTCGTGTTTTATGCTCGTAATATAAAACGAAACCAGTTATTGAATGTTTTGAGCCCACTAAAGTTTATTTGCTATAAAAAATGAAAATAACATAATTAAAAAAAGGTTGCATCAGCTTGTAGCAGATTAGATAATTGAGCAGTAGAAATGAATTTACGTGTTGTAATAAACATAAATAATTCATTACATGAATTTACATAAAATGTTGGTATGAAAGGATCATGCATTAACATTCGATCAGAATCTAATACTGAACGTTGGTTACAACACGATTGTAAATCATCCACTGAATATACATCAGGTGTTGTAATTGACCGATAATATTTTAATAAATTAGTTATTTGTGAACGTGAAACAATACCTTCATATTGATTTTGGATACCTCGACGTGTTTGACATTGAGAAAGATCAGCTGCAGCAGCATTTCTAACAATATCTCTAACTGGTAATGGTGCCCGTATTTTTGTTGCACGATAATCATGATTATATGTATTTGATGGTGAAAACATTATTTCACCATAATTATCTGAAATAACTTTCATTTGAAACTCATATTCAGGATATTTTCGATATTTCGAACATTTGTATGTGATCTTCTTTTCAGCTTTTGCTTCTTCTGCACATTTCACAGACACCTTATTTTGTGCAAGAACTGATTGCAAATCATTATCATTGAAAAATTTATCGACAAAATTCCACTTTCGTTTGGCCATAGTGAAATGGTTAAGAAATTCAATAACAATGGTTGAATATATTCCAGAAATATTTAATCCATAAATTACGCAATGAAAATACCTATCTTGAGGATAAATTTTGTCCTCCATATGACATCAGCGCAATCTCTCGTAATTTTGGATTCAAAAGAACCACGATCACCGGGCTCATTTTATGTTCCAATTTCAAAAGACATAAAATATTTTTTTGAGCCCGAATATATTTCTCTGGGCTCACATCAAACCACCTTAGCTCACTTGTGGATTAATTGCGGGTCCAGAAAACAATTTTTCCATAACTAATGTTAGTCGTATGATTGTTTTTTATCATCAATCAAATTGAAAGAGACTGGTGTAAAGGTCATTAAATTCTTCTTTTGATTGTTCTTTTTTTTTCTTTTATAAAGTCTAATAAATTGATTCTTTGTAGAAATCAATTATGATTCAGGAATTTCTGTCTTTAAATCCGCATTTGTAATAAATTTAATAAGTCTTTTTTACAAACAAAGACTATCAGTTTGTATAGAAAGAATGTATCTTGTATAGAAGTACAAAGCAGTCGTGCGTTCGTTCGTACTCTTTTTTTTGTTTACCTTTCCTTTATGCTTTATAAAGACGCGTCATCAATTATTACTATAAGTACAATTTATGTTGTGGAATGTTTTGACATACAGCTAATGATATTCTATAAAAAAACAAAAATCTCTAGTAGAGATTACGTTGATAAGAAAAAGAAGTCACATTTTAAAGATAAACAAATACAATGAGAATCAGTTTTGATTCCGATTTTATAACATGAAATTTATATCGAAAGAAAAGACAATAGATGGGATTTAAGCAAAAGCTTGCCTTCTTCATACATGTCAATAAAATGATACAAAACAACCTTTCAGTCAATCGAACAAAGTCTAATGAGAAAACATTGCCAAATGATAAATTAGTTTTGAGACGAGTCTGATGTCATTAGATAAACTCTCGAAAGAATTTTATTCATAGAATTTTTCTTTTTGAATTATATATATTTTAGTAAGTTTTTCAAGAAAATGTCATATGACACTTTTTTTGTATCCTCTCGTCAGATATCAATATTGGCAAAGCTCTTCAATATATATGTATATCTCAAGATATAAGATATAAGAAAGTATACTGCTTTTATAACAGACTAATCTCATTGAATACTTCATTTCTACAATGTTTAAATTCGAAAGTCGATTTTGAAGGATCAACTACAACATTCTATAGAAAAATTCACTAAAATAACCATAAGTCAAAAAGAAAGACCCATGTATATAAATCTCTTTCTTATAATATAAGCTTATCCTTATGATCAGTCAACATTTAGTCTTTAAATTTTCCTTTGAATTTTCCGTTCTCTAAAAGGCAGTAGATTGTCGATTTTTCGTGTGTTTTCAGCGAACATTTAACCCATGTGATTCAAAACGAGCAAAAATCGACAATCAACCGGCGGCAGTTTGACACATAAACAGGTCGCCAATCTTCTGAGCGAACAAACATGCTACATGGAAAAACTTCAAATGCATTTTGCCCGCCGTGCCATGCATATTTTCAACAGTAGCCAAATTTTGTGAGTTCTGAACTCCTAGAACTCTCGGAAACACGTGGGTGTGGGTTTCGGCTCTCTCTACACCCATATTTGAATAACCACGAAAAAGATTGTATTTCTTGAAATCTGTTTTTTTTTGTATGTTATTTTAGAAAAAATTCTTTTTCTGTGTATTATCGCTTCTGATGT